ATATATATATATATATATATATATATATATATATATATATATATATAATTGTATACATATATTTATTTATTGGCCTTATTGACATTGCCTTCAACAATGCTTTAAGGTTAGATTTAAAACACAATTTACAGTCAAAATCAAACATTTCTGGAACATTATGCTATCCCTCAAAGAGACAGAGCAAACTGAATGTCTTGTCATGGCTGCCTGCTCTGATATTTTCTCCAGAGGGCATCCTGTGAGCTGGAACGCCTTCTAAATGTCAAGTTTTATGTTTTAAAGAGAGCATATAAATCCCTGCCAAAGATTTAAGATGGCTGAAGTGTTAATGGCATTTCAAAGATGGACAGTGATGTGTAGTGGTCATGCACAATGGCAGCTCACTTCCATGAAAAAAAACATACTTTATGGTGGTTTCATTTTATCATGATGTAGAGTCTGAGTCATAAACACATGGCTTAAATCAGCTAACCTGCAAAACTGGACAACTTGTGTTATTTATTTTTTTATTATTCTACTGTGTTTGCATAGGTTTCCAGTATTTATCATGCATCTAAATGTTGCTCATGTTGGTTCATCTACTGTATTTCAGATTTTACTTGTGTTTATTATTAATACAGCGCAAGCACAATAATTGCATTTTGTGCATTGTGTTAATTCCAACCTACAATCCAGCCACTAGGGAGCACAATCCAGTGTCTCTGGTTCAGATCCCAACCCCGGTGACACCATACCTGATCGCTCAAGGCCCTGTTTTTCCATGGTGTGAATAGAAAGAGGAATGGAGTAGGGGTGATCCTGAAGGAGAAGTTGGCAAAGAATGTAGTAGAGATGAAAAGCGTGTCAGATAGGGTGATGTGTCTGAAGGTAGAAGTAGAAGGTCTGATTCTAAATGTTGTCAGCGGTAATGCTCCACATGTTAAGAGTCAGAGTCAGAGTCAGAGTTTCTTTATTGTCATTCGCACCTCATGTGGTACATGTGGTGGAGCGAAATTATGTACACAGGGTCCCAGTTACATCCAACAATAAAATGTATAAGAAAAACAGTAATAACATCTAAGATATGAACTAAGAAAAACATCAACTAAATATACACTAAGCACTCATAACATAAAACATTGAACATCAGCACAAAAATGAACATGAGTCTGTGAGCGGATGTGCACGCATGAACACATCAACATTGAAACAGATCAGCAGCAACATGAAACAGATCAGCAGCAACATGATGTGATTATTCTGGTTAGAGATTCATGAGTCTAACAGCCTCAGGGTAGAAGCTGTTCCTCAGTCTAGTGGTTCTACACTTAATGCTCCTCAACCTCCTTCCTGAGGGAAGTGGGGCAAAAAGTGTGTGTGCTGGGTGAGTGGGGTCCTTGATGATGCAGGTGGCTCTCTTCCTGCATC